TTTTTTTTTTTTTTTTTAGATATTAAAGTTTTTATTTACTACTGTCATTGCTATTGTTGCTATTACTTTGGACTTTGCGAAATATATATTTAAAACAAGATACCGTCAACTACATCTAAATTATCTAAAACGACGACAATGTAGTTAAATATTCTGAAGTATAAATAACAAAAAACATTTTTTTTTACCCTAGGTTCACAATAAACCAGCAAGATTTCAATACTCGGATGTTATATGTGTGTATTAGATGTCATACGTGTGTGTGTGTGAGAGACCCACTGCAAACAGCCATAATGGCTGTTCCCAAAGTAAACAACACTCAGGCCACTTACACACTCCTGCAGACTCTTTCATTTTTTGAGAGGAAGACATTTTCGGTTTCTCTGCAGCACGTGGGTGTGGGCTGAAGAGAGAGAGTAAACACAGGATGGGGGGAATACTTACAGTACTATGAGTACTATATTTGTATTTTCAAAAAATGGTAAGAATTGACGTAAGGAGTGGACGTTGAGATACATTTGAAAAAATTAATATATTAAGTACTACAATGATACTTTGTACATTATAACGTAAAAGAACTTTCTAGATTAGATTCAACTACATTCAACTTCGTTGATGGGAAATTTGCACGTTGCGGCAACAGTCAGAATAAGCGGTACGATTAAAAAGAATACCCAAAATAACATGTTCTGTTAAATGTAAAAACAGTAACAAAAATATTTGAAAAATATATATAAAACTAGAAATTATGAATTTATCCTCCACAGTTTTACATTTACCTGTACATTTATGCATTTGGTGTTATTTGTTACTCTTTGCTGAATCTTCACATCATTTTCTTCCTCATCACTTCCTGTATGGATTCCTCTGTGTTTGATCAAACCTTAGGAAGCCTGAGTTGCTGCAGCCCGTGGACTGTGATAAACAAGGGTTGTACTGCAAAAGTACTCCCAAAGCCATTCTTCTCCGTACACTATAACAACATGTAACGTTCAAATCTAACTCAAGGCCTTGAGGTTAACACGCACTGAGGGTCAGCTTCGCTTTATGCGGAGAGATTTTTCTTCGAACTCGAGTATCATATCACATAGCCACGGACTGACACTCTTTACCAACTTGTATTGAGAAAGTGATTTTTTAATGAGCAAAAAGAGTCTTTGGTGTGTTGCAGTCAGAAGTGATTCAAAGTGGTCGATAATCTGCACCACTGCAGAGTTTTCATCTGCCGCACACGAAAATAGCATTGAACCACCATCAGGCTATTCTAGCAAAAACGGGCCGTCACCTTAAATAGCAGCTAAAAAAGTACTCCTACTTTTAGTTGACACGTAACAGCCTACAATCATTACACACATCCAGTAGCACATTGACTGACGTCAGGCGTCACCAAATAGTGGATCGTGTCCCAATAAGTCGAGTTGACTCGTTGTTTTTTAGTGACTGGTTAAAACCATGCATACCTGTTTATGTCAAGTCCAGCAGCAAAACACTCTCTGCTTAGTCTGTGAGGGTGTTTTTTTCCCCTGTGAGGCGCCGTCTCTCGTTTTTTGTGTTCCGCCTCTGCCTCATCTAAACCTGGTTTGTTTAAATTTTTTTTTTTTTTTTTTTTTTTTTTGCTCCTGAAAAGAATATGTTTTTGTCTGTGAGAGCTTCAGACCAAGACGGGAAACATAAGAGAGGCCACTCCGCCTTCACAGTGTTGGAAAATATACTCTCCTATAGCCGATAATCCTCAGCATTTCCACGTAGCAGTCGTATTTTTTGCATTTAGTCTGTGCTGTATTTGTTGCAACTCAGTAGCCAATAAGTACACACAAGATCTCAGTGTTTGATATATGGTCAATCTATGACGTAATATATAGCATAGAGCTAAGACTTTAACGTCAAATAAAACACTAGAGAGCTGAGTGAAAAAGCTTTTTTTTTTTTTTTACTTTTAGACAGCTGTACGTGTGTATATCTGTCATAGCTGTGGCTCCATGTTGTTCACTCATGTGGCCTCTATGTTTCTAAGTCATTTCTTGCCCACGTTGTTGTTGTCGTCTGTGTGTAATGGCTGAGAAGATGTCATACAGAGGCCAAAATAAATCGATAAAATAACCTATAGTTCACCTCAGGTGTATTACAGCTGCGGTCAGACCATGGAAATCTCACTGTAAAGAGTGCAGATGTACAGAAGGTACTGATGTTATGTTGTTTCAGAGTAAAAAAAAAAATGTAATAAGAATAAAAACACACAAAAAACGCTGGTACTTATGTGTACTCTGAGAGTAAAAATGCAGAGCAGCATTTATTCAGTTGCGTTACTGACACCTACAGGCACCGAGAGGAATAAAGGAGAGAAAAAAATACAGGCAGGGGGCAGCAGCACTGCTGATGAAAACATAAACGGACTCTTGTGACTCAAAAAAGACTTAATTTTATAGTAATCTTAACGTGATTCCTGGGTTTTTATTTTTCGTAGCTACTCCTGATATCTTTCCTCTTTGTTCTACACCCAAAGCACTTGCACACAGTAAAGCATGTCAACATTTATTGGTCAGGTACTAAATAAGTGAGACGGTGAATAAAACATGTCGGATCTTAATTTACTTTACAAGAAAAACAAACGTGAAAAACGCGTAAAACAACCAACAGTTACGGTTTGATTGAAGTTTATTTAACTTGAAAAAAAAATCAAATAAATTCCACATTTGCCCACAATATGCACACTGTTTATTTTTTGATTTATTATGGACTGCAGTCGAAGTTACCTATATGTCATAATAGTGAATATCCCGGCCAGTAGGGGGCAGTGTCAGTCCTTTGTCATATTAAACAACAGTGATGAAGAAATGGATTAAAAAAAAATTGAATTTTTGGTGGAAATGTTTATCCTTAGAAAATAGTACCAGCAGGTGGCAGCAATGCAAGTCAGGAGATGTAGTTTGACTGTTTATAACCAAAAAAGAAGAAGTGAGTTGTTTAATGGCTCTAAAAATGTAACATTAAGTTATTAAACCAGGGTTTTCAAACTCAAATTCACAGCGGGCCAAAATTAAAACTTTAAAGAAATTGACAACAATTATGCATGTTTTCCGTTCTGTCCAGATATGTAATCTAGAATTATTTTCATATTGCGTAAACATTGAATCTGGAACAACCAAAGCTTAATATTATAAACACATTAGAAATTAGAAATTTGGAATAAAACACACATGAGTGGTATTTTTTTTCTTATTATGTCTCTTTATCTGTAGCCTTTTTGGTTTATTCTTGATGTAAATTGATTTTTTACAGGCCAACAACAACAACAAAAATTGTATGCGAAATAACATAGCATAGTGTAAGAGTAGTTGATATGATCTCGCAGGCCAAATATAATTACGCTGTGGTCCAGATTTGGCCCCCGGGCCTTACTTTGACACGTGTATGTATTTGAACCACTGGTGTGTGTACATTTCGTCGATTGATTTTAAACAGTTATTATGCAGCAGTGGACTCAACAACGGAGCAGGGCATTGCAAATGTGCTTATAGGAGCTCCTACTGGGGAGAATGGAGAGCTGCGGGCTTCCACACAGTGCGAATGAGGACCTCCTCCTAGGCTGTGTAGAAAAGTAAAAAAATGTTAGCAGCACGTCTTTAAACAAAGATCCGCTCAGGTTGTGTCTCTTCTCACAGCTGCACTTTTAAAAACTGTTCTTTTTGGCCACTTCAGTTTTTAGATCACGTTTGACTGACATGTGGCCAAGCTTTGGCCTGTTTGTGGCCCAGATCTGGCATATGGGAGTTAATTACCCAAATGACATCATACCGTATTATACTGTAAGTGGGACAAATATAAATGTCACATGTGTTGCGTATGGACCACATCTGGGAACACTGTGTGTTGGTATCTGGACGACAACGTGTATGATAAAAATGATACTTTTGGCCCAAACTTTAAAAAAAAGTCAACTTTTAATAAAGGCATATGAGCGCCACCTAGTGTTCCATCTCGTCAGCTCCGGTCTACTTTGACCAAGGATGCAGTGTTTGGGTGAAAGTAGACGTTAGTTATATTTGACATCATATTCAGCTGCTCCTGGTTTAAATATGAGGGTTCCGTCTTCAAACAGGGTCGTCATCTTTGAAAAGGGGGGGCTCCCCTAAAAGTTTGGGGAAACACTGGACTTAGAAGAGCAGGGAACAGAATAATTGTTTCCTCTCTGCTGTCTAACGTGCTGCCTATGTAGGAAGTGTTGCACATAATGGAAGCCAGAAAGCATTTCTTACTCTCTCTCTCTCTCTCTCTCTCTCTCTCTCTTTCCTACGTATGTTTTCATACATGTTAGGGGACCATATTTTAGGTGTATTATGGTCTGTATATTTGTTCGCTGCAAGCTGCAGAAATATCCAAATATTAAAGTTTATTTGCAAATGCACTACATGTGTTAATAGTTTACAAGCTAATAAATCTTTTTTTATTGACATCTTTTTTTAATTATGGTACTTTGACTGACAAATTCACCATAAAAACTACTTAATAGTATTTTAATTTAAATCATAATTTAAAATTTTACTTTATTTTGTTTTATTATACTTGTTTTATTTGTAGATATAACCATATAATGTATGAAATATTCAACATTTTATCATTTTAATTACTGTTTTTGTTTTATATTATGATTGTATTTTCTTTATAAAATTAAAACGTATGGAATTAGAATTATGTTCATGTACTTAATTTGCACCTAGAATTACTTTAATTTAA